TAGGTTGGAAGGGACTTAAAGATCATCTAGTTCCAACCCCCCTGCCATGGGCAGGGACACCTCCTACTAGACCAGGTTGCTCAAAGCCCCATCCAGCCTGGCCTTGAACACCTCCAGGGATGGGGCATCCACAACTTCCCTGGGCAACCTGTTCCAGTGCCTCACCACCCTCACAGTAAAGGATTAACTGATAAATGCCAAAATTGCACACCTGTAATTGGGCACTTGGATCTGGAGCATCTTGGGCAATCTGGAGTCATTGTCCCAATGTTCTGTACCTGCTGTAACAGCCATAAGTTTTTACAGAAACACAAAAAACCCCACCTTTACAAACTCTTAGTTTCCGCCATTTCTATTGTTTGGTCTCCCCCTGTAGCCATAATGCTCACATTTCTTTCCTTTTTGCTTGATTGCTTGTAAAAATGGTGACTAGGGAAAACACCAAGTAAGGAAAAAAAAAAAAAAAGATTTAGTAAAAATTGCAAGAACTGGCACCACTGGCTCCATGCCCCAAGTCGGGATGTTTCCCCCCATCCCTGGTACACATACCCCATACCCACGCAAATTACACGAGGACTCTTAGAAGTGCTTAACAACTCCCCTGCTTGAGAGACCACCACGCCCAGTTTTGATTTTACCAACCTCCAAAGTAGCGAACAAATACTCAGAAACAACAGAATCATGTCTGAGGTTTTCACGTCCTTTGAGTACCTATCTAAGGGAACGATCCTGACCATTTCCTCTCCCAGCGCAGCCAGGGAGCATTTTTGCAGCGAGGCAAGAAGCTAGGATGGCAAAGGTGAAAGCAGTGATATAAGAAACTTCTCTGACTTGGTGTGACATTTTTTTTTTAATTTAAAAAAATAATTAGAAATTATGTTTAATTAAGAAACCTCTGCCTATACACCCCATCTTTCCCAGCTGATGGAACCTTCTCACCAACACCTTGTAATGTAACTATCTGCAAGGACATAATTTGGAGTCTGGCTGGGATTTATGCTAGACACTAAAATATTTAAGATCTTTACCAATGATGTCCTGGAAGAAAGCAGCGTATCTCTGATAAACTTCAGAGATGACACAAGGCCTAGGGGAAGGGTAAATAATGACATGGAGAGGGCACTGGTACAGTGTGACCTGATCATTGGGCAGCCAGGGGCAAGCAAACACGCATTTCAATAAGGTCATTGATGAGCTCATTCATTTAAGTGCAAAGAGTGGAGGCTGTATATACTTACCCGACAGAAAACTTTTTACACTGGGAAGCACAAAATGAAAATGACAAACAGGTCACGGTGGATTACCAGCTGCCAAGATGGTGCTGTGGCCAAAACCTACAATTTTCCTGCAACCTCAGATGTATAAACAGAGAAATCACCAGCAGGAAAGAAGCTGTACCGCATCTGGAATTGCTGCTGGCTGCTGAAATAGCATGTCTAGTTTTGACGTGCTGATAAACTAGAGAGAAACCTGAAAAGGGACATGAAAAATCACTGAGCAATTAGAAAACCTCTCTCAGTGAAATATATCACAGAAGGTCAGTCAATTTAATTTACTGAAGAGAGAGCTAAGGAGTTGCAAGACCATAAAATACATATAATGGCAATAGGAAACAAAAAATCAATAATCGTTTTTTTCAGTATACCTGGCAAAACTATCAGAAGTTGAAGCTAGAAAAAAAAAAGAAAAAAAAAAAAACAACAAAACCCCTCTGTATTCTAAATCATGGGATAAGCAGAATTGGAACTGTTTACTGTAAATCGTAGTGAATTACTGGCAAGTCTACAGGTTTTTCTCCGAAAAGATCTAATCTCGTAAAAATGAGAATCAATTCTGGAAAATTTTGCAGCCATTGCTACTTCCATTATAGAATTAGACTACAGTGGCATCTTCTTCATCATCTGCCCTGATCAATATAATGTGTGCAGCTGCTCAAAAACAGCCAGAGGGAAGAGATGTGTTTTCATTTTGTTTATTTAATTTCAAACACAGATTTCTACACAGATTTCACGTGGATTTTTTTTTTTTTCTGGAAAAATATCGCTCCATATAATAAGAGTAAGCCAATAAAAACGTTACAAAATGAATGCACAGTCATTCATTGCTAACACCTATCTTTTTTCGTTTTCTCTTCTTTTCACACCTCCTCAGCGCGCCTCAGCAGATCCCCTGGTTGATCAGTTTAGCTACAGACCAGGTTCATTTGGGAAGGTTTTCAAAGTAAAAGTTTGCTTTACTGTGCAGAAAGTGTGGCAGTTTGCACATGAAAGCACGAAGGGAGTAACGCTGATGGCTATAGCTTAAATGCTGTCCCTGCTTTTTGCAAAACTGAAGTTTTTTGGCTAGCAGACCTGGATCACGTGCGCTTGTTAGTACCTCTAACAGAAGTTCTCAGGCACCCACAGAGAGTTTAAAATAAGATTGCTGCGAACAAAACAAGCAAAATAAACAAAACCCTAGTATGTTGCAAAAAAATTGTGTCAGACAAAATTTGTGTCATTTTAGCTCTCAGAGTCTAAGGAAGTAAGTAAACATTTGTAGGAGGTGGCACTACAGGTACTAAATGAAGTTGATACAGGATGAGAAATGAGATGAGAAATGAGATGAGAAATGAAAAAAACCTTCTTCATCTATCACATTCGCTTCAGAAGGTATTGATTCAGGCCTGAAAAAGGTGTTCAAAAGTCTGCCTGGTTCTTCTAGCGCTACTAGCTAATTTACTACAAGATATTGCCTCTCCCAACAAATATTCTCTTTGTAATAATAAAAAGGGCGATTTGAGTTTTTGTGCTTTATATACCATCTACGAGGATGTCACACAGCCAGAACGAGCAGAAAATCCCATGGATTCCCCTCAGACTTCTTTATATGGTCTCCCTGGTTTTCTTTGTGCCTTCTGTATTTTTCTATCTGTGGCACAGAACACAGTAGGTTAAGAAAAACCTACCACAATTTTCACAGAGAGAAGACCTTCTAGATGTGCTTCTTCCAAATATGATGAATAGCACAGGTTTCCTTTAAGGATATCCACTTGTCCTCCAAGTCTCCAAACTGTTTTATCATCTACCCCATCAGTAAAAACTTTTTAAGCATGCACCCTTATTATATGTACATTTTTTAAAACAATTATATACATGTACTACTGTACTAATTATTAGTAGTATATAGAATACTAGTTAATATATTAACATACACAAAAATATAAATTAAAAAAGGACGAGATAAAGAGGCTATAAACACTATTTTAAAAATAGTTATTTTATTAAGCGTACACAAAATATTTGCTTCCCGCACCCCACTTCGGAGACCACTGCTCCCA